AGTTTTATTTGGAAAAGTTGCATGAGAAGAAAAACCAACTTTTACCAAGTCCTAGTTTGCGCTGGTCATGAGAATCGATTTCCTCCCGATAAACCTGTGGAGCGAGGTGCACGTTTTGCAGAAGTATCTGCAGTGAAAGGTGAAGTACAAGTCCCTGTTCTGTAGCTGATAAGTAGCAGCCATGATTCAAATCCAACAAGCGTCTTTGCACTGCCCTGGGTTCTTTCCCCAGGCACCTGGCTGCCTCTGGGAGCAGGAAGGGAGGGAACATTTCATTTTTCTCACGTGAATCTTCCATTCACAGCCTTCCTTTGTTGGGACTGTGGTCTTTTTCTGACCAGTCTGGATTCTGCATGTATACGAATTAACACTTCATCGGTTACACTCGATGGAGACGTTGGTCACCTTGTCACTTTATCATTGAGGTACAGTTTGAGTGTCCAAAACACTTGGAACCAGAAAGAGGTGTCTGGGGTTTCAGATTCTTTTCGGTTAGAATATTTTCATATCCATAATGAGATTTCTTGTGCATAACATATACATCTCATAAACAAAATCTGAAGGTAATTTATGTAGTATTTTGTGCACCTGCATTTTGATAGTGACCCATCAGTGAGGTCAGGTGTGGAATTTTCCATTTGTGGTATCATGGTAATGCTAAAGAAGTTTCAGATTTTGGAGCCTTTCCGGTTATGGGGCTAGGGACATTAAACATGTACCATTTTCGGGATGCAGATGGTTTCAATGTATAATTCAATGAGTTACTGTTTCCTCTGTGATTGCTTTTATTATTCAAAGCTGAGAAAATTATTTCTGACAGATTTTTTTTGAAATTTTGATTTTTTTCTATGATTTGGCTGTTTTCTGTTTGACTCTGGATTTGTTATTAATTATTCTCATTCGCTATATGATATTAGATGTGAATCCTATTTTTTCCCTAAAAACTTAGCCCATACCCACGTGTTACACAATTTTTCCTTTCATCCTGAGTAGCCTATCTGTCTTCCTCTGAACTTCTAGAAACTCCAATTTCTGCTCACTGATCTATATTTCTATTTTACTTTGAATATTATACTTTTTTGATTATTATTCTTTATACTCTGGTTTATAATCTGACTAGATCAATTTCCTTTGCTAGAAAACTGATTCAAATTTAAATCCTACACAGAAAAAGGAAATCAAATTAACAGAATTCCATATCTTGGAAGACATGACATATAGAAATAATAACATTTATTATTGTCTGAACAACTTAAAGAACTTCAATCCTATCTAGCATTTGCTAAAGAAAACTTACATATATTCTTATCCATTTCATTATTTTAAAAAACCATTTTATAATAAAAGTAACAAATACTTTAAAGTGGTTTTTAATTAAATTTGAAGGTCAAAAAGAATACAAGAACTCCCCATTCATTTCCTAGATTAATTCATTTACTTCAACAAACATTTGAAGAAAATGCAGTACATGGCAAACTAAGCCCAGCAGTGGGATATAGCTGTCATCGAGACAAAAATGATCCCTAGTCTACTGGGCACTAAAGGGGAAGACAAATATTAAATAAGAAATTCTCATGCAAGAGTGGACTCAACTGTGGGAAGGTAAAATGGGGGTCCCAGGAAACTAACAGAAATCAGAGATATTTTCTCTAAGAAGGAGCACATAAGCTGCAGGTCAGGGGAAAATATTCCAGTCAAAGATGAGAGAAAGGAACAAGGTGTGTGCAAAGGTGCTTGAAGATTTTTCTCTGGCCCTTACAGGTTTGAATTTGCCATATTATCCGACATACGGCCGGACTGTTTTAGGCAGGGATTGGTTGCTCTAAATTTCCTGCCCCTTGAAATACATACCAGGCTCTAGAGGTACCTCACTTGGGTTACGCATTTGAATGTGACATTTAGCCCAAAGGCATTTGGTCAGAATGATGGCTTTCATAGGCTTGGTTCTTGCATGGTTACATCGATTGGCTGTGCAAGTGTGAGGATGATGTGTTGGCATGGAGCTGGTTGAGTTTTACAGCTCTGGGTTCTTCAGCAGGGCTGTTTCTGTTCTCTTAAGTCTTCATTGTGAATTAAGTCACTTATAGGATACAAAATATGAATGACCGCCCTGACCCAAAATCGCATTCTTAAGGAAATGGAAAGGCCACAGGTGGATCATTTGGTCTCTATGGCAACAGAAGAGGAAGGCTGTTTCCCAAGGAACTGCCATACCCCCGAGGGCCCAAGAGTCAAGGTCCCCAGTGCATAAAGCCGTGCCACACACATGCCAGTGTTCTCGCCTGAGAGGGACTGCAAGGCCAGCCCAAACCATGCCTGTGTGTCCTCCGTGACCTGTGCCACAGCTCCCCAGTTGGCAATCCTTGGAGGAGCCAGGTCTCTGTAGCAGCTGCTAAAGCCACTAACCTACATGCCAAAACACACACCCATGGGAAAGGGAAAGGAAATTAGATCTCCTGTCTGCGCTTAACTAAATAGCAGACTGTGTCAGGTGACCCAGCAGTTTATAAAGTCCTCCTCGTAAAGCCTCTCATTTGACCCTCACAGAAGACACTGAGACTCAAACATGGGTGAGGGACTTGCCTAAGATCAGAGCTACTAAGAACTGTGGCTCAGGGCATCTTATCTGTGTTCATTTGGCCCATGAGCACCAGGTACTGGGGTACGATTTAGGGTCCCTGCCTTCAAGGAGCCCCTAGTCCAGAGCTAAACAATGAGAAGCAATTACAGTCTAGGTCTGAGTACAGACAGCTGAGTGGTATGAGCACTGCAACCCAGGGACACTGTCAGCAGGGCCTCAAGGGCTCCTAGAGGAGGTGACACAGGAGCTGAGCTTTGAGCCCGTTAAGGATCACCAGAAACAGTATTAAAAACAGACTGCTGGCGTCACTAAGTCAGTAAATCTGGAGCAAGGCCCAGTAATCTGCATTTCCAACAAGTTTCCAGGGTGCAGACACTGCTGCTCCAAGGAGCACACTTCCCAAAGCTCCGAAGTCCTTGGGCCACCAGTGTCCATGCAGGGCCCTGCGTTCAGGCTGGCCTGGCTGGGCACTGGGACTTTGGAGATGGAGGAAGGAGGGAGAAGGGGACAGGCGGAGGCAGCACCAGGCCTTGTGACCTGCTGGTTCTGAAGCCAGCGCCAGAGCAGGCTCTTATCAATTCCTGGTCCAGGCCCTGCCCGGGCAGCAGGTGGCTGTCCCTTCTTTCTGGTATCCATATCACCCTACAGTGCTTCTCTCAACATGGTACAGACTAAGCATCCTTTATCCAACATGCAAGGAACCAGCATTTCATATATACCTTACGTACCGAGCCTGAAGATAATTTTATGTGTGAAATAAGAACTTCATGGTGTGGATGTTTTCACTTGCAGCATCAGGTATAGGCACTCAATAAGCTTTGGATTTTGAGGCATTTTGGTATTTAGATATTCAGTTGAGGAATGTTCAACTTGTAACAGTAATAACCACTCAGATACCAGGTCCTGGATTAACATTTACTGCACACAAGCTGGCTCATTTGACACTCAGAATAACCCTGTGGAGTACACATAAGTGATCTCCATTTTAAAGATCTGAACACTGAGGCACAGAAAGTTTGGAGAATTTACCTAAGAACACGTAGCCACATGAGATGGTGCCAAGACGCACATTCAGGTTTCCTCCCCATCCTGTGTGCTGTTAAGTTCCAGATGCCAAAGTCCAGTGGTCTAGTTCTATTGGCCCCACCAGGTCTGGAGTCATCACTTTCCAGGGCCAGGTGGGGACAGGCAGACACAACTAGCCCCAACAGAAGGCCAAGCGCTCCCAGACAACTGAGGAGGAATAGCTGCCAGCTGGACCAAGACCCGCTGGTCCCCAGCCAAGGATCCCCCATAATTAGCCTGGACGTGTAGAGTCATGAGCACCTCGGCCTCTACAACCTGTGTCTCCAAATTCATTAGTAGTTATATTTCTTCATTACCTCTCTCCACACAGGATAATCCAAATCTCACAGGATTGTCAGGAGGGGAAAATGAGATGACATGGATCAGTCACCGAATGTGACTTTCCCTCCACAGTCCCTATGGTGGACTGCCACCATTTATCCCATGCAACCTGCTTGTCCCTCGCAGCTGTAGATGTGGGATGTTATTTCCGGCAGCTGGGGGTTGTCAGCCAAAAATGCCTGGTTCTGCAGCTGGACCCTGGCTCCCAACTGGAGCCAGCTCTGAGCCCATGAGTGTACCCCGTGCCAGGCCTTGCCAAGGCAGCCTCTCAAGGACACAACAGGGGCAGCAGGAAGGAGACCTCTCCCGATGGCGTGATGGGAATGAAAGGAGGCAGGAGTCTGGAAGTTGGTGATGGGAAGAGCATTGGTCCTGAACTAATATCGGCTTGGATTACAGTCTCTGTTCTGCTTAACTTTGCGACTTTGGACAAGTCACGTGAGCCGCCTGAGCCTCAGTTTCCTCTCTTAGAAACTGGAGTCAGTAATCCTTGCCCAAGGTCTAGTGTAAAGATTAAGTGAGAATGTGTGAATGTATGCGTAAAGGCTCAGGACATCAGTTTTTATTGATGAATTTTGTCTCATATCCAACAAATCTGGATACACACACAGCACTTGCTCATTCTTTCAAAAACATTTACTGAGTATCTACTCTGTCCCAGCCAGTGTTTGGGGCACTGGGAATAAAGCCATGCATGAGACAGACAAGAACCCTGCTTCCCCAGAGCTGTCCTACTGTGACAGATGATGGTCAATAAACAGCTGAACAATACATCAGCAGGGAAACGAAAGAAGAATAAGCTCTGTGGACACAACAAACCTAGATGGAGTGGTAGCACCAGGTTCTCTCCATGTCTGCCCAACTGTGGGCTCAAAGACTGAAGAGTGTAGACCATTAATGGCCAAAGAAACTGCCTCCTCCTGCCCTTGTCCTGTAACTGTGGGTAGGCTACATGTCCCCAGAATCTGCAGCCCACAACCCCAGTGTAACAGTCTCTGTATTTGGTTTCCAGGAGAGCAGCACCCTCAGCTGAATTTTCAGTGGACAGGACACGCCACTTAATGTCCTTCCTCACCATGATGGGCCCAAGTCCGGACTGGAACGTGGGCTTATCGGCAGAGGATCTGTGCACCAAGGAATGCGGCTGGGTCCAGAAAGTGGTACAAGACCTGATTCCCTGGGATGCTGGCACCGACAGCGGGGTAACTTATGAGGTAGGTGTGTGCCTGCAGTCGGGAGCAGCTCACCTGGTGAACCCCTGATCTGGGTGTCCTGGACACCACAGAAAGTCTGACTCTTTGTCCTAGAAGAGGTCTCATCATCAAGTATAGTAGGGCTCAGGATCTAGGAAGGGTTCATGCAGCCACCAGGACAGCACAGAGAGGAAACTGACAAAGGAGTAGTTTGCAGGTCACCAAGGGGACAGCATGCCAAGGACGAGGAAGCAGAGACAGCACAGAGAGACAGCAAGAGAAGAAAGCTAATGTGCTTGCATACAGCAGGACCAGAGTCCAAAGGCTAAGAAGTTTTACACTGTACGGAATGTCCTATTTCTCATATCAACTGCATCGAAATCTGGAACCATCCCAAAATCAGTGGAAGAACAATCTAGAACGGACATCAGCATGCTATGGTTTTGGAGACAAATCTAACAACACCCTGATTTATAAATAGTCGTCAAAGCTAACCATACTCACCCAATTAAATATTGAATACTCCCTGTTACAGGGGCTGAGCTAAGCGTTTGTGACACAGAGTGGTTCACAAAACCTAAAATATTTGTCATCTAACCCACTATGAAAAAAAAAAGCTTGTCAGTCAGTAGGAAGAGGTCTGGATCCAAGCTAAGCTGGCTCAGTCATTTCTGAGCTGAGATGACCTCTCTGAAACTTGGCTTCCACAATTTGGGTACAATCCTACCATGTATGGGAAAGAATGGTAAAGTACAGCTCTGTGCATGTCCGAGCACAGAATATGATATAAACAGAATTCTGTAAGTATAGCTCTCCTTGTTAAATTACCATCAGAATTTTCAACCTGATCCATATAATTATTTCATGGTTTTCATATTTCATTTCCTTTTTCTCTCTTTTTCCTGCAGTCACCAAACAAACCCACAATTCCCCAGGAGAAAATCCGGCCCCTGACCAGCCTGGACCATCCCCAGAGTCCTTTCTATGATCCAGAGGGCGGGTCCATCACTCAAGTAGCCAGAGTTGTCATCGAAAGAATCGCCCGGAAGGTACTGGGTCCAAGGGCATCAGGAGGACCAAGGAGTCTGTGGACCTTTTGTTTTAGAATCACAGGATCCCTGGCAGATAGTGCCATGGAATATGGGATTCCTGGGCCTCCCAGTGTTTCTAGTATGCAGATTATATGCTGAAATGTAAATGAGCAGGATGAACCCAGTGATGCAACCCACCACTCAAATGAATGATTGGATTCAGGCCGATAGGTTTCACTGGGAATTCCATCAATTACTCATGTCTGTCATGGTCAGGATTCCTGCTTAGCTCTTACATTTCTCTAGCAGTCAGGTTGTAAACGTTGGCCCAGAACTCCACCACAACATCAGATTCACACAGGGTGCACATTTGATTTTCTGTCCTCCTCCATCCTTCTCCTGCATTTTTCCTCCTCCTCCTAATGTGAGCCCTTCAGTTAAAATTCCTTCTGCAGGGGGAACAATGCAATATTGTGCCTGACAATGTTGATGATATTGTAGCAGACCTGGCTCCAGAAGAGAAAGATGAAGGTAAGTCATTCTCCTTCCTCGAAGGGAAATTGGCATGACACTTTGAGAAGACAGTTTGCTCACATCTTAAGAACCATAAACTGAGTCTTTTGATTTGGCAATCCCATGTCTGGCGATTTCTTCTCAAGAAATAATCTGGAGACTTGGGTGTAGCTCAGCAGTAACACATATGCTGAGCACACACCAGGCCCTGGATGTAATTCCAGGATTCCCGACCCCTGCCAAAAAAAGGATTAACAAGGCCAAAATTAGGGACTGGTTATCGTCATAGGGGAAGAGATGACACTGGAGTATGTATAGAATAGTGCCAGTCCTTTAAAACTACAATGAAAACACATCTACACAGGCTTCTTGGAATTCAGAACGCTCTGCCGTGACCCTAGCACTGGCCTTTGCATCTACCTCCTCAGTAAGGCCGAGCTGTTAGTCCGGAGGGGCTTGGCAAAGCCAGAACTGCAACTTAATTTTGCTCATGGAATCTGCAGCCAGATAACCTGGACTCCCCACTAGTCTTGTGACCCTGGGGAAGAAGCTGACCCTTCTACTCCAGCACCCCAACTGTAAAATGCACGTAACAGGGCCATATCCTGGGAGGTTGTGTACATCAATGAGATAAAACACACAAGGTTTTTGGACTGGTCCTGTCACATAGTGCACACCCCGCAAACGTCAGCTCTCCTTATTCATCGTGACACTTGGCAGTGGGGATGAGGGAAGTCACTGGAAGACCAAGTTGCCACACCAAACACACAGCCTTTTGCTTTTCAAAACTGCCCATGAAACACCTGCGTGAATGTGCAAACAATGTGTGCTAAGGTTGGGGACTGGTAATGAAAAACTCTTCATATAGTAAAGAAATTATTCCTATCATTTAGGGTGCTGAAATGTAATTTTTAAAGGGGAGGGAATGGCTGCTCCCATCCCTGGAGCACTCAGGCTCGGGAAGACTGTTCAGGCTGCAGGACTTTCATGTCCCCAAATGAGCCCATTGGGGGAGAGGGCCAGTTGCAATTTTACTGGCTCCCCGGGAAAACATGTCAAACGTTCTTTACAGATGACACACCTGAAACCTGCATCTACTCCAACTGGTCCCCGTGGTCAGCCTGCAGCTCCTCCACTTGTGACAAAGGCAAGAGGATGCGGCAGCGCATGCTGAAGGCGCAGCTGGACCTCAGTGTCCCCTGCCCAGACACCCAGGACTTCCAGCCCTGCATGGACCCGGGCTGCAGTGACGAAGGTAAGGAGCCAGCCAGCCAGACCAGCTAGCACAAGCTCTGAAGGAAGATCTGAGGGCAACGCAAGTCTCTCACACCGCTCAGGCAGAGACCCTGAGGCTGGAGAACCCTTACTGTAGTCGTTGGTGAGGTCAAACCCTAGGAGACCGCTTCCTGCAGCATCTTGCGGGCTCCAAACCCAGAACCTCTTCTGACACAGAAGACTTCTTGGAACTACCCACTTCCCTCCCCATACACATGACTGCAGGGCTGGCAAACATAAACATGCCTTATGGCCAATTAGAAATAAGTAGGCTGTTGCTGGGCCTTAATTCCAACTGCTTTTTAAGGAGCCCATGAACAGCTTGGCCAAGACAATCTAGGTCCATTGCCCTGATTCTGTCAACCTTGGTGGACCTCTTGGGTATTCGATCTCAGCATGAGTCAGAGCCCTTGTGCTGTGTCATGCCCCTCAGGCTGATTGCAGCAATTCTCCATCTATCTGCAACTGCTCAAAGGTCAGGCTCAAACTACACACTTGCAATCCCTACGTCATGCTGGTTCGGGCTCCCAGATTGCATGACGCTGATTGCGATGCAAAGGTCACTGCCTCCCAAGAGCGTGACTCTGCCTGGACAGATGTCCTCTCTGATCGTATGCTGTTGGAGCTACAGTGAGGGTGCATGAAGGGAACACGCAGGTACTTCCAAGTGAAGAACACTTAGCCTGCTGTAGGTCACATTGCCACCCCCGGCTCCTCTGCCTCTCAAGGATGTACTCTCACATGTCTTATTGCTGGTTTTGCCTAAAATAGGGCACTCTGAGGAAGAAGAAACCCTACCATCAAAAAGCCATTCCAACAAACAGGAAAAGATTGGCTCATCAGTGTTAAAGGCGCTTTCCTGGGGCTAGGGAGCCATCTCACAGGCCAGCAGCACAGCTGAGGTCTACGTTCCTCCTGCACAGGAAAGAGCCCCTCTTTACTCCAGTCAGGTCTCTCCCAGCGGGGAATGAGAGTTCTGAATCATCTTGGCCTGCACCTATTCCTTGAACCTGGGATTCAAGCCACCCCTTCCAGAAATAGACTTTTCTCTTATATACATCAAGTTCCTTTCCACACTACATTGTTTGGAGGAAACATCAGAGAAGGAAAAAAGTAGAGGTCTTCTGGACATTCTGAAGGAAGTTTTGTAAGATGAATGTACTTCATTGTATCATAGCAACTGCTTTTTTACTGAGTTTCTTGATGATCTGGGCCAACCCCATTACTCCAGCTCCCCACTTCCGTCCTTCTTCCAAAGCAATGCTAGGAGCATCTTTTGCAAAGGAAAATCTAATTGCATGAATCTTGAGCTGAAAAACCTGTGGTCTCATACTGCCCATGTGCAAACTTAGCTTACTAAACTGATGACAGATATGGTCCTACAAAGAACCAGGGCAGAGACACTCTGATGCACATCCACATCCAACACATTATTATACCGGGATACTAAAGTATGCACATCAGTAAGGGCACCTGAGGCCATGGCGGAGGGGTGCTTGAAGAGTGGCCTTCAATACTTCCTCTCAGAAGGCACACTCTGGGGCTGGGGATTTAGCTCAGTGGTATAAGCACCTGTGTGGCGAGTGTCTCTATCCCCACTTTTGGTATTGGCTATCCCCAATACCAAAAAAAAAGGTGTCAATAGTGACTTGCCCAAGGAAATGTCTCGCCAGGCCATGAGAAGCCTGCTCAAGTCTCATCCCCACCCTCCAGTATGAAACCAAACACAGTTACCTAATGCAATTGTACTTGCTGCCTCTCATGAGCCTAGTCCCCAGCTCTCGAATGTGGCTCCCAGCTGTAACTTCTTAGTGCACCATAAGCCCTGTCCAGCCACACCATCCATAGGTTAAATACAGTGTCCGGGCCTCACATACATGTGAGCTGGCAGTCTGTGGACCTGTGCACTCAGACTTCAGTTTTTTTATGGCTTCGTATCCCGCCCCCACACACACACACACAACAGGGGTGTTTGTATAAGCTGGTCCCTGTACCCTAACTGCAAATATGCTTTACCCAACAGAAGTATACTGAAGTGTGCCTTACAATGTGACATTTTACCCAGAACTCCAAGATAGCCAATTTCCCCCTACACTGTGCTGCCTGACTCCCTGCCCAATTCTCTTGTCCTATTTTATTGTCAGTTTACTGGAGTAGGACAAGATTTGTATCTTCCCTAGCTTTGTAACCTCAGAAGGTACCACTAAGTATTCAAGAAATGTTCTCGAGTAAGTAGATGGCTAGGTGGATAGACAAATGACTTCAGTTTTCTCCTATTTTTAGAACAAAAGTAGGTCAAGATACACACAGCCATGCTTCCACCATGTTCTATCACCTTGGCAACGAGACCACCAAGTCATACAGTGACTTTCAGTTTTCTTTCCTCCAGCAGTCTCCAAATGTCACCTCCATGATCCCAGCCTTAACCAACACCCATAGGTGGCCCAAGATACACAAAAAGCTGCTTGTATTGCCTTCGTCATCCTCCATTTCTCCTGGCACACACAAACAATTGCCTCCCAATCCCATACCGGACCAGGTCTTTTGTTTCCTATTAGCAGCCAGGATATTGTCCTCTTGGTACCATCCGCATGCCTGTGGCTCCTTGGTGTCATCTACGCTTGGGATTCTGATAGTACTGTGTCCCGAGGTCACCACGCTATATCCTCAGGAACAAAATTTCCTCATCTACTGCACTTTTCTAGACTGAGAAACACACAGCTTTCAACAGTAACTGAAGTCTCCGATCCTTCTACACAAAAGTGCTTACACACTATTTCACAGAATATCTCTTTCTTCCAGTGCTGTCCAAAAAACTTTTCTGTAGTGATAAAAATGTTCTGCCTCTGCACCATCCAATGTGGTAGCCACTACTGAGCTCTTAAAATGTGATTAGTGACTGAAAAGCTGAATTTGGGTTTGCTGGTCCTAGAAGTAGGATTCATTTAGGCTAATTATAATTTCTCTTAAACTGCATGTAGACTGAATTATATATATTTGTGTGTAGTACATGCACATAGCCTATCCATTCAGGTATCCTTTAAACGTATTTTCATGGAATATAGAATAATCTTGAGTGCCCCATGCTTCAGGAAAAAGAGCATTTCCTCTTGAAGAACACCTGCTACTTCAAAGGTTTAGACCATTTACGTTACAGTCCCGCGGGACCTCCCTGCCTCCAGCAGCGCTGAGCCAGACTCAGTGTGATGTGTTGCAGACGGCTCCACCTGCACCATGTCCGAGTGGATCATCTGGTCGCCCTGCAGCATCTCCTGTGGCATGGGCATGCGTTCCCGGGAGAGGTATGTGAAGCAGTTCCCAGAGGACGGGTCCGTGTGCACGCTGCCCACCGAGGAGACGGAGAAGTGCACAGTCAACGAGGAATGCTGTGAGTGGGGTGCTGGGTGGGAGAAGCAGGGCAGAGCCAGAGGCCTCAGGCTGGCCCGACTCCAACTGCACTGGGTTCCCCAGCTCCCAGCAGCTGCCTGATGACCGAGTGGGGCGAATGGGATGAATGCAGTGCCACCTGTGGAATGGGCATGAAGAAGCGGCACCGTATGATCAAGATGAGCCCGGCGGATGGCTCCATGTGCAAGGCTGAGACCTCGCAGGTGGAGAAGTGCATGATGCCCGAATGCCGTGAGTGAGCCAAGGGGAGGGCACATGGGCAAGGGACCTGGGAAGGGAGGAGTGGAGGATCACAGTGCAGCCTACCAGCACCGTCCCCGTCAGAGGCTATACATGGCCCAGCATCCTCAGAGCACTGCCAGGCGCTCCCAAGGAGCTGTCAGGAGAGCCTCGTGCAGGCTCTGCCAGACCCAGGCAGGCCTCCTTTGGAGAGAATGGGCCTGCAGCTGTGTTTCACATTAGCGAGTAATTCTTAGGCGGAATGGGGTGCTTGTCTCTAATAAGAGCCCACTCAGACATTCAGAGCTGTTTCAAGTGGAAACTTGTGTGCTCACATTATTGACTGCATCGGATGTCATGACCACCACCTGGGCCACAAAGAGATACAGGTTCTTGCTCCAGGGAACTCGGTGTCCAGGAGCCAGAGCAGGGGGTGAGGGAGATGCATGGTGGGGCCAAGATCAAAGATAGCAAAGGAAGCCTGTGCTCAGGGGAAAATCTGGCTCTTGACCTAGACACCATCCCGTGCTTGCTGTCTCCATGGTCCGAGTGGAGCGACTGCAGTGTGACCTGCGGGAAAGGCATGCGGACACGCCAGCGGATGCTCAAGTCCCTGGCGGAACTCGGGGACTGTAACGAGGAGCTGGAGCAGGCGGAGAAGTGCATGCTGCCCGAGTGCCGTAAGTCCTGGGTCCCAGAAACCCAGCCCGTCTTTCCTCAGGAACTCCTGAGAGCGGAAGCTCCGGACCAGCCCCACACTGTGTAAGACTGTTAAGAGATCTGGTAAAACGGATCTGGGGGAGCAAGAGCCTAGGGCTTGATATATTGATAACTTTTTGTCAACCTTTATTACCACCTGCAAAATACCCAAAATGCACGTAGCTATGAAGTCCATCAGTGACACAGGAAACACCAGAAACCAGCCCTGGTCTCGCTTGCTCCAACCCCAAACAGAGGCTTGTCCGACCCATGAGTTGTCTTAGCTTTCAAATTCTATTCCTCTTACCTGTGCCCATTTTATATGCCTTTAACCAGAGGCTGGCCGTTAACTCAATGACTCCTGACCCCTGGTGAGAAGACAGCAAGAAAGTAAGCCAAGTTCTCAAAAGCTTGCTGACCACCTCAGTCTCCTCCAAAATCTCTGTGAAGAAGCCAGTTTTCCAGGCCACACTTTGAAGAGAGCTGCTTTTTTAGCTGGTGAAAGGGCAGGCATACTTCTTATGATTTATCTTTTGGCTTCTTCTAGAATGTACTTGCAGTCTTTCACTCCAGCTTCTCCCTCTCATTAGCACTCAGGCTGCCTGCATGGTTCAGACCCCAGTTCTGTCCTTTGCTGGTGGCACAGCTTTCAGCAGAGTACTCCCATTCCTGTTCTGCAGCTTCATCTGTAAAACGCAGGAAATGCTACCTTGGTTGCTCTGAGGGTGAGTCAGTAGCCGGCAGTCTGAGCCCTGGACCTGGCAGGTATAGACCTCAGTGATCTGTACTCCACTCCTGAGCCATTTCTAGACTTGGTGGTGGGTGCTGATAACCAGCACCACTGACCACTGTTCAATCCAGCTTACCTGAGCCTTCCAGGGACAATTACCAGCTCAACAGTCCTTCTCCCCACAGAGCCAAGTGAGGAGAATATGAACACACATGGAGAACTTCCTGGGCTAGAAGCATCATTTAACTCTTACACTCTAATGCAAAAAATACCATTATGTCCATTTTGCAGGCAAGAAATCTGCCTGAGTTCCCACAGGGAAAAAAAGACTGAAACTATGAACTAAATGAGGACTTCCTAGCTCCAGTAAGGCCCTGGTTCTGTAAGAGTTTAGGATCCTTTGCCTCCTAGCACATATCCTGAAAATCAGATCACTGTATTATTTCACACTTGTAAAGTGCTATCTGCTGGATCTCACACTATGATAAAACCATAAACCACCACTTGCTCTTGACCCTCTACTGAATTTTCCATTTCTGATCTGTATTTTTTGCACAGACCACCACAGATAGGTCACAGGATATCAAGAACTAATGCTGCTAAGGCTTAAAGAGAGCACAATGTCCCTATTTGTCTCGAGGGCTTATTGACTTTCCTTTCTAGAGTCAAGTGAGGTACCAGGGAGCTTGTCGGCCTTGCTCTGAAAACCACCACAGTGAACTGTGGCTTTCCTGAGAAAATCTGGGTCCCTAGGCACTGAGGCCAGTCTGTGCTACCTGAGGCTGACTCCACAATACCGAGTTGCTGAAACAGGGCAAGAGCTCTGAACACAAAGTCCTTCAGTGCCTTCCTGACTCCAGAGAAGGCTCAAAATGTGGGTTGTTCCTTGGCATCAATCCACTCTCCTACTTACCTACCGTGTAGGCTGGATGAAGTCATTCTGTCTTTTGGAACCTGTTTCTTCTATAAAAAGCATCCTGTAGGTCTGAGATGTTCAAAAGAAACATCTCGTTTCAGACCTGAGATACACTAATGCCCATCTGTCTCTCACCAGCCATCGACTGTGAACTCAGCGAGTGGTCCCAGTGGTCAGAATGTAACAAGTCATGTGGGAAAGGCCACATGATTCGAACCCGGGTGATTCACATGGAACCTCAGTTTGGAGGCGCACCGTGCCCAGAGACCGTGCAGCGGAAAAAGTGCCGCATCCGGAAATGCCTTCGAAATCCATCCGTCCAGAAGCTGCGCTGGAGGGAGGCCCGAGAGAGCCGGAGGAGCGAGCAGCTGCGGGAAGAATCCGATGGGGAGCAGTTTCCAGGTAAGCCCAAGTGGGGAGGCAGTGGCCTCAGAGAGGGGAAGAGACTGCGTCTTACTTCCAGGCTCTTGACAGTGTTTCTTCTTCCCAAATATTAAGAAAGCAGTTTATAAGGAACAGAAGAGGGCATTTTATCAAAACTTTAACATACCTAGCGAAGAGCCCTGAGGAATTTCCGTATTCTTTCATTGCATCTTTACGACCACAAGACTGTCCAGTTTGCTGCCCCCATTCACTCTTGACAAAAGGGGGAAATAACACGGACGCAGGAGTCGCGACTGTCTTTTAGGGAATGTTTTCCTTTCAGAATAGGTCATCCATTTCAAAGGTGTGGCTTCAACAGGAAAGCCTCGGCTGCCGCTTGGTGCATTTCTTCAAAGTTAACCGCAAAGCTGAGTATCAGGTCAGCCTTGGGTTTATTTCTTCAAACATGGACCCAGACTGTCAAGTAAGTGACCAGTGCTCTCATAAACAATGAACCAAGTGCTAAGGAAGCCAAGGAATGGACATCTGACACTGACCAGAGTTCAGGGAGGTACTACAGCAAGGAAAATTAGGCTGGGTCCTAAAAGCATTTGTAGGAGCTTGCCAGTGGAGTGCATTCCAGCTGTGAGGAACAATGACTGCTAAGGAGCGTAATAGAGAAAATACAACAGCCAAGCATGAGGAGAGGCAGGAGACCAAGTAAAGGAGGCAGCCGGACTGTAAAAGGCCAGTGGCCCTGCTGATTTGGGACTTGCTACAGTGCTGGTGGTCTTAAGCTCCAGTGACTTTAACAGCTCTACGCTGAATGACTTGAAAGTGTGGAGGCAGTTCAGGTTTTGTTCATAACTCAAGTCAAAGATGAAGGGTCCCCTCCTAATCTAGGACTTAAATAAAAACAAAACCCCCACCTGGGGTCGCACTGCCTGAGAAGCAGCAAGCCACTGAGACAGGTACACGAGGAGACTCCTGCTGAAGTCTTGGCCACAGGCTGCTGTTCTCTGGATTCCCTGGAGAGGTGAGGAAGGGACCTGTGTAAAAGTATGTGTAAAGACAACCCAAACTCCTCCTCCTCTCTTCTCTACCTGGGATGATGAGACAGACAGGCTTGAGGAGGCCCCCTGCAGTGCACTCCTTTCCTTAGGGAGCTGTTCCCATCCAGTCACGGTCCCTTAAAGCCAACCACGGGCCAGGTTCAACTGCTCTTGAAACTCACCCTAGTGCGTAAGCAGCGGTGTGCAGGGTTCAGAGGAGGAATATACCGAGTGCTAAAGAAACGTGCAAGAAATGATCCAGTCTCTAGGGGTCAAGGATGGTTTTCCTGTTTTTCATTTGGGGAAAGGCATGTTAACACAGCGTAGGAAAAACAAAACAATGCACCGCACTTTGCTCACTGCTTGGGCAGCCAGGCATAAAAGAGGTTTGGTGCTCCTTGAACCTCTTTTGGGGCTGCACCTCAAACTACCTCGAAACAGTGACTTTAAAACCTATCGATTATTAACAACATCCTGTGGCTCGGGACTGGAGCCAGCTCAGCTGGACAGTTCTTCTGAGGCTGGGCCCATTCTCATTCATGTGACAATCAACTGAGGCTAGAAGAGCCCCATCTGCATTTCTGGGACCACTGTCCCAGGCTATCCAGACTCACTTCAATTGTGCAAAAGCTCCTAAAGGCTTTTCTCAAACGTTTTGCTTAAATCCCTGTGGCCAAAGTGCTAATACAACACTGTCCCTGACATGAAAAACTACAAAGCAATCTATCTCACATGGTTAATAGTCTTTAGTAAAGACCCTATCCATTAGCTATTCAACAAACTACCACACACAGGAGCAGAGTGCCCAAATAAATGTGACAGTACCCCACCTGGCATGGTGGTGCAAGCCTGTAATCCCAACACTCAGGAAGCTGAGGCAGGAGGATCCCCAGGAGTTCAAGGCCGGCCTACACTACAGTGAGACCCTGCCTTGGGGGTTGGGGGGAGAGGGGAACCACATAAACAAGTGTGACAGTGTACTAGAGTCCATATTCCCATCCCAGTGTCCTAACCAGGCATTCTGCCACTTTCAGGCTGTAAGATGCGCCCATGGACCACCTGGTCAGAATGCACCAAACTGTGTGGAGGCGGGATTCAGGAACGCTATATGACTGTAAAGAAGAGGTTCAAAAGCTCCCAGTTTACCAGCTGCAAAGACAAGAAGGAGATCAGAGCATGCAACGTTCACTCTTGTTAGCAGGGCTACAAGTTCCCCAGGGCTTCACTCCAGATTCCAGTCATCAGTGGTTGGGTGCTTTGCTCCTTTAAGACAATTTAAAATTGTATCCATTAGTTTGTTTTTGCAGTGCGGTTTGCCAATAGTCTTGTGGATGCCAGGGACATCCTTTGAGTATTTCTTGGTGGGTACAGACCACGTGGGGCTCCCTCCCCCTCAGCCAGCCCTCTTCCAGCACAGGAGTAGTGACAGTCACCTTGTACTAAACTGAAGCGTGTCCCTCTGGGGAATCCACATGGAGGGCAACCACATCTGGAAAGGACTGTATCTCAGACCCGGGGCACACCAGGTAGGAAATGCACCCACCAGATAAAGAGGCCACATTTCCCTTTCTCACCTTTGGCCAGGTCACTCTTGCAAAAAATCTGTCTGCCCATCTCTGTTCACTTGATAGAACTTGAGGTTGCTTGTTTTATCTCCTGCCTGGGTCATCATGACATTCCAGGGGAATTGAGCGAGAAAAACACCGATACTGGGTGGCTTTTATCCTTAACACTGAAAAATTCTGGACGCATTTCATCTAATTTTGGTTCCTGGTACCCCAAAGAAAGAAAAATGGTGGTTGCTTCATTTAATGTAATCAGTTCTTACGCCAGAGATAAAGGGTACAAAATGTAGAAGGTAGTTTTTCTTTGCCATTGTTTTCTGGTGCCGTAATTCTAGAAACATAGTTTTATGAACCTATCTTCCTTATTGGAACCAAGGCCAACACAGCAAAATTGGCCTACCAGTTACAAACCTGAGTTTGTAATCATCCTATTACACGCCCAGCCTTTTAAGCTTCCAAATCAGTTTCTAATGAGAAGCTACAAGTCTGGCCAAAAATCATTCCTTAAAAAAAAAATCTAAAAAAAAAAAAAAAAAAAAAACTATCTCTGTACTTACAAGTTATTTTTAGTCCTATTTTATATCTAGAGAAAAAGTACTTGAGACATAAAGACAAAATCTAGGAGAAAAGAATACTGTGGAATCCAGCTGAGTAAGGAGTCACACCTATGTCAGGCTCCCACACCAGGGCTACGGGCCTCGGACACTGCAGTCAAGGTCCTGGTCTCCTCCCTGTCCACATCACTGTGGGTAGCCCATTCCAGGAGCCTGACTACCAAGTTAGTGTCATATGCTCAGTTGAGCCCATCAGGAGTTTCTGTCAAAACACCATGCGCTAATGGTTAAAACTTACTGTTTCTTTTTCAGGCCTTTTTATTACTGCTTGATCCAAATATGTATCGTGAGCAAGATGCATACAATGCTCTGAATATACTTTTAAGAATCTGCATTAAACTGATCAGGATATTTTCAAACTACAACACATCTATGCTATAGCCCTGAATATGTATTTTCTTGAACACAAGAAACACTGTTCAATAAAAAAGAATTTCATTGGGTCCGTCTTCCGTGTTTTTAAGCTCACTAAATGTTCAGATGGATGGGTCCTTTCACAACTGTTATGACCTCAATTATGTTCAATAAAAAATAGGGCCCTCGCTCCCTCATTCTGCAGGGGCAAAAACCACCTGGAGTTTTGTTCCCAATTGTGTTTGTAATCCTCATAAAGTAACAAGGGGCTCCGTCTTCCACTTGCAAGAAAAGTAATCTACCCACTGTTTCATCATCCTCCAAAGCTCAGTTCCTTAATACGGTGATTCCTAAGGGCCCCATTAAGTATGTTTTTAATTCTGACTCTGGAGACTTAAAATCAGACAACTGGTTAAGGGCTGAGACTGGACAACATGCTTATTACTCGAGTGTTTTTGTTTGCAATGGGGAATTTTAAGAAGTGTCAAATCTCCTTCTTACCAAAGTCTTGTGTTAGGCAGTTTCTAGTTTTTCTAGCTAACCAATCATTTTGGAAATAAAGTGTTTTTACTACAAAAATGAAATCTGTTTGGACTTCCGCTTGAAAAAAATTGAAAGATTACAAGACCAACTACTAAAGAAGAGCTATGACTGTACATATTTATCAATGCCAAACCAGTTAGATTTGACATTTTAAGATAACAGAAGTTCAGAGGTGTGGTTCCAAGACACTGAGTGACTTACCTGTCACTTTGTTGATGCATTTTATTTTGAAAAAAATCTGTTGCAGCAAATGAAAATAAAACCTGGCTTTTTTAGACTCAGAAGTGAAAAAAAAAAATTAAGAATTTGTAGTTTTTTCATTTCAACTTTGTATACTGAACAATTTATACTCAAAGCCTATGTACCCCATCCAGAAGGGGAGTCTTACATATTCTCAAATGGCTGCAATTCTTCAGAATCTTAGTGCAAATGAAATCCATGGCTGAAGTGTCAACTCATAAATATGCTTCCTGTAAAATTATCTCTGACCTATTTCTGCTTAGCCTACATGTTTCAGGCAAGAAATAAAAAAAATTTTTTTTTCTTAAAAATCAGAAAATTCACACAACTGTAAAAAGGCCTCACAGAATCACTTCATAATGGAAACTGATCTGGAATAAAAGAGCCCAGCTTGGAAAAATTCCATCACATAGAATTGAGCAACAAACAAGTTAAACATCTACATCCTAAAGAAACTGATACTGATACATAACATTAAACCATACATGTTTATTCCCTAATCACAACACAGAATCAAAAAAGACAGTCATTTCCACTATTTTGCTATTTGGTGTTATTAATTTTAATAGAATTATTTTGTTCTTCATATTGCCTAAAGTAAGGAGAATGAATGAAAATAATCCCTGCTGAAAATGACTGAGATGCAAAAACAAATTATAAATAGCAGCTAAATGCTAATTACCATGTAGCTAATTCTTCCATTTAAATCCTTTGAAACTGGAAGCAAAAGATCCACACTAAAATGTCACATTTGAATAATGGCATACAGCTTTAGACACCCATGGGCTGAGGTGGAGGAGCAGGGCAGTGTAACAGTGAAGCCTGGTGGCCCGAGGCTCAAGCTACCATGCAACACAGCCAGTCAGCTGACCTTTTCCGGCCTCAAGACTGACACAAGCTTCCCTGACTGGCTCCATAATTTAGTCAAACCTCACCCTGAGCGCAGGTCCTCATAGTATCCTGTCACAGGACTGAAAGCCACTTCCACACCACCCATCTCCCTTGTCACAAACCAGTAAATGCCCACTTTGCATTCAAGCTGGTTTGAGGTGCATTTCAGTCCCTTACAGTCCAAAATGTCATGACAAATACAATGTGCATGCATAATTTTTTTATCATCAGAGAAAAATGCAATTTCAGAGTGTTTTCACTGTAATTTCATTGTGCATAAGTCTTAAGATAATACCCATTAACATTCTCTCATATTGCTCTACTCCTTAGCATACTGATTGGTAATGATTCTCATATTTCAAGCAGGTAGATGCTTAAAACGATTTTCCTTTACCTCAAATAATTTGTATGTATTAACAGAAGAAAAGGCAAACATCTTAATCAAGATTCCTGACTCCTTTACATTTGGACTTTGTAGAAGTAGAGACCTTTGTACCTACAAGTCAGAAGGGCTGCTTCAGAAACACACCTGAAGCTCCCCCTCCCTCCCTCCCTCAGGGCTACTCAAAGAAAACCAGCAGCCTGACAACATCCACGAAGAAAACACAGAAAGAGACATTATCGAGAAACTTCCACAGTAATCTGACATTGTCACAATACTCAAGAAAATGATTTTCCTCCAAGAAAATATTCATTTTCTTTACCCTTAGCAAAAGTATCAGCCCACAACACTGAAAATTCACCTTCTTTTTTAAATTGGACCCTTACCACAGCCAATTTGAAAGGTGTCAAAGATGCCAGGCCACAATCCCTGTGGTGGCAAACCTATGGCATATGTGCCACAGCTGGCTGTATCACTGAAGCACTAAAAGGTTCACCATACTGCTGGGCTTTCAAATCTTTAAAGCTGACGTATCCAGACAGCGGTACCTACTTCAGATCTGGGTATCTCCACGCCGAAGAATAAGGACCTCACATGGGCTTGATTTTGCCACAGAACTGCTCAAAACAGCACACGCTTATTTCCTCCAATCACATCATAACTCACCTGGCTTCCACACAGACCGATGAAACAAACCTAAGGAAGTCACCAGCAACCTGTGAATAACCACTGTCTCTCTCTCATTTCCCCATCCCTCCTACCCCGACTCTACACAGCACCTAAAGGTTTCTACCACCCTGGCTTTCTGTACGCCAAGGAATTATTCTTTCCAATTTCTGGCTACTTCTCTTGAATTTTTTTGCTGCTCTTATCTTCTACCCTCACGAATGTTTGTTTTCTCCAGAAGTTCTGCCCTTGGACCTCCTCTCAGCTTCCTTCCAGTGGTGTCCTATCTCTTCCATCAGTAATTCAGAACAGATAAATTACAAATCTGCATGTCTAGCCCCAGCTTCCCCTTTTGAGCTCTAGCCCCATTCCTGAACGCCTCCTCACTAGCCATGTCACAAGTATCTTTCCTCTCCAGGGCCCCAGCCAGGGCTGCTCTGTGTAGTGCAGACTGGCCTTAAACTACGTAGACCAAGCTGGCCTCCGGGCCAACTATGCAAACCTAAAGCCTCTAGACTGCTGGCATCTCAGGCAGTCCACACCTGGCTACAAAGAGCATTTCGGCCTATCACTACAGTTACCTGTGCTCCTTATTTTAACTCACAGCACCACCAGCTTGCTGCTCAGTATTTTAAAGTGTCGAACATTTCTCACATTACTTAATATTCAGTCCCTTTCTCTCCATTACTACAGTTCAGGCCTTCATCGCCCGTCTCTGAAATCACTCCTCAAGTGATTCTCTGCACATGACAGGACTGGCAACGTGGGAAGGCAGTAAACACAAAGGGCATGTTTGCCCTCAGCGTCTGTGATGGTGAAAGGACAGAGTCCAATATTCCAACGTGACACACCCCCTTCCCTTAAGGTTGTGCTTCTCGGCCGTTCTAACCATCACATCAGATCCAGGCACCTCCTGTTCAAAACACTTGGCAGTTCTCCTGCTCCACAGAAGGGCCATCCTATTTAAAAACCTCCATCTAAGTCTACTTGATCTTGTTTCCTATCATAGCTACAATCCTTTTACAGGCTCCAACACCAGCGCACACACTGCATTATGCCAATGTATTTTTAATTAGAATACTTTTTTTTTTTTTTTTGCTTGAAAGATTCTTTCAAACTTTAGAAGCAGACTAGTGATGAGTGACAGGAATTTGAAAAAGACTGCTGATCATTATTTCCCCCTATTCCTGCAGAGCACCTGTTCAGGTGGTCAAAACATACAGCAGTAAGAAATGAAAGAAAATGAATCAAAAGGGGAGGGGTGAAAAACTGAAAGAGGGACAGGCTACACCTTAAGTACAACATCACATTTTAAAAATCAAAGGAAAGGTAAGGAGCCAATTAATATTATAAAACTTGGAAGCCCCAGATTTAGCAAGTAACATACATGTGTATCAATCAGAGCAAAATGTCTAACTGAAATTCTGTAAGTCTCTAAAAACATGCAATATAGGGCCAGCAATGTAGCTCGGTGGCACAGCATCTGCCTGCCAAACACAAGGCCCTGAGTTCCATTCCCAGTACCCACCAAAAACAAATAAATAAACATGCAATATACAGAGAAAATTCCTAGGACAAAAACTCTTGCTTTTCCTTTCAGGATACTGTTTGAAATTCCACAATAAGCACAAGAGATTCTAAAGTTGGGAAAGAATGCTTAATCTTGAGTGCTTAATCTGCTATAGAGCAGGGTTGGTAAACCACACCCTAGGATCAATCCCTCCCACATCAGTATCTCTGTGTGTTTTCATACAGAATGGTCTCTGTTATTTTAACTGCATGGGAAACACAAAAGAGTAGGATCTCATGACACATGACAATGATATGGAACAAACTTTAGTGTACACAGGTTTTATTCAACAGTCACCCTCATGGATTTATTTATACATTGCTTATGGCTATTTCGGTGCTAGAATGGCAAAGCTGAGTAGTTGGGACAGAATGTAAAGGAAGAAGCAGGGATACAAACAAATGAACTGCAAAATCTATTCACAGAAATAATCAAGGGTGTAGTTCTATTTGGGTTGTAGGTAGCTGGGGTCCTGTATGCCTCATTGCATAAGTACTGCAGTCCATGTCTGTGTGCACCCCCGCCCCTCTGTAGCTGGGCATTGGCAAACTTCTGTAAAGAGCCAGTTATATTAGGGGACTACAAGGCACCCGTGACTGTACAATAAAAATCATAGGGGACACTTCGACTTCTATTCATGATACAGTACAAACCAAATTTACCACTGCCACTCACACCACCTTACACAGTTTTAAAAAACTGAACCAAGCCAGGTATGGTGATAGGTGGCACAGTCTTAGCTACTCAGGAGGCTAAGGCAAGAAGATCTCTAAAACCCAGGAATTGATTCAAGGCCA